GAGAAAATTTTGAGATGGGATTGAAAAAATACTATAACAAATGACAATCTTATAAAAAAAATAAAAAGAAAGAAAAAGAAAAAACACATAGCAATGATCTAATGTAAACTATTTTTAAAAATTAAAAGAAAGAATATCAAATTATTACCTTGGATAAATATAGTGACGGAAAATAATTTTGTGATATTTTTGTATTGCCTTCTCCTATACAGCTTTCATTATTTAATTATTAATATTCTTCTTATTCATAGCCAACCATTCTTTTTTTATGTATATCTTTATCATTTGGTAGATAATAACAAATAATAAAAATTATGAGGAGTAGGTTAAGTGGAGATAAGAAGTTATAGATAAGAGTATTTTACAAGATAAAAAATTCAAAATAAAAAAAGATAATATGTGATAAAAGGAGAAAAAAAATATAAGTAAACCAAAATAAAGATTTAGATAGATATGTTTTTGATAGATATGGATTAACAAATCATATATTTATCTAAATTTTATTATTTAAATTTTTTCTTTTTGTAAATCAATTAGTTAATCTTTATCTTTATCCGTAGACCATAGAATTAATTTTTATAAATTATTTATCAATTCTTATATGTTTATTTATTTATAAGTCATGAAATTATTATTTTTCAAATAATTTTTAAAATTTTTATCTTTATCTAAATGTCATGAAATAAATTTCCATAAATTATTTATGACTTTTTATATGTTTATTTATAATGAAATTAATTAAAGTACAAAATGAAGGGCAAAAAACATGAGTAATTTTTTTTAAAATCAATTTTTTAACCTTTATTTTTATCAGTAGGCCATGAAATTAATTTTTATAAATTATTTATCAATTTTTATATGCTTATTTATGGGAAGAAATTTTAAATTATCTATAAGTTATGAAATTAAGTATTTAATTTTTATCTTTATCTGTATACCATGAAATTAATTTTCATAAATTATTTATCAGTTTTTATATGTTTATCTATATGGAGGAATTTTGAATTCAAATACATTTGATTATATATATAGTATAGATAGATATAAGCAAATATAAGCAAATTTAGTGAAATATGAGAGGTTTTCAAATTCTTAATATTAAATTCTCATGTAATCTCTCTCTTACATGGCATTATGTGAAGTTTTCTTTACAAATTTTCCTAATTTTTAATTATTTTTTAAAAATAAATATAACAAAAAAAAATTAAAAATCAGATATATATATATATATATAAACAGATAAAATTAATAAACTTGATCTCTATCTCTTCAATTAAAACTTTGTTAATTAACAAATTTGATGTCTATCTCTATCTCTTTCTTTTTGTAAAATGTATATTTTATTTACTTTTACATTACATTACATTTCAAATTAGATTTGATGTCTATCTCTTTACTATATCTATATATATAGCAATGTTCTTCTCTCATTTATCTACATTTCTCTCCACTTCTAATATATATATATTATTATTTGAAATATTCAATCTCAATGTTATATATATATTTTTTCCTTCTTGTTTTTGTTTTTTAATATGTAATTTACAATTGTAAGGGTTGTATGAATGAAAAAAAGTCATATCATTGATGTGATTTCTATATAATTTGTTGATTCGTTTAGCATGTAAGGTTGGGATTTAAATAGTTATAAGAAGACAAAATAGATTAAAAAGTCAATAAGATAAAATGTCACTTCTAAATTATATTCATTTTACTTTTTCTCTCATAAAAGTTAAAAAAACTAAAATGCTCATCTCAAACGAGACTTTTCAGCTCAGGCTAAAAAATTAAAAAACTAACCCACTTCCCAAACGAAGGTTGAACATTTTGATTGTACAACTCATTTGCCATAATTGAAGTTTTATGGAAGTTTACATCAAATATTTTATTTTATATATATATATTTGGATGGATAGAATTTTTATTTAAGACTCATAAATGTTGAAAAGATCATATATACATTTTTTCAAAAATAATTTATTCAAGAAGTTTGACTCATATCTCATGGGTTTTTATTTTTATTTTGTGTGTGTATGCGGGCGATGAATTTGATATATATTTTTTTTCTAATTTTTTCTTATTTCAAGTTGTACATTTTAAATATAAAGTGATTAAAAAAATAATAAAATGAAATAATTTTATTATTTTTCTTTGGGTTTGTGTTTGGTTTTTTGCAATGCATTTTCAAATATGTTTGCAATGCACGCCTTTCACTTTGCATAAATCTCTCATATCTTTCTCTATAAAGAGGATAAATTGAAAGTTCTTCACATTCAAAAAAAAAATACATAAGATATTTGAAAAAATAAATTAGAAAATTTATAATTTTTTTTTTTTTTTGCAATGCACGTCTTTCACTTTATGTATCTTCATAATATTTCATAAAAATCTCATGTCTCACTCTATAAGAGACAAAGCTTCAGAGAGAAGAAATTGAAAGATGCTCACATTCAAAGTAGTTTGGCATAATCTAAATAATACAAAAAGTTAAAAAGTTACTATCCTATTTAAGTCACATCATCTTATTTAAATCACATCACTTCTCTAACACATCACATCAAACCCAACTCAAATCCAACCCATATAAGCCAATAAGTCAAAAAGTGTACTTTTTTAGAACATCCCAAATCAAATGAATGAGTTATTTGAAAAAAATAAGTTATACTATTTATATTAAAACTTTTTTTTTATTATTGTGATTAATATTAATTTTATAAGGCGAATATAAATAAGTATACCCTGCTGTCCATGTGTGTAGTGACATTGTGAAAGTAGCCAGAAGGAATAATTGAACATTACTTTAGTTGAATATTCTTTTTATTCTTGCATTGATTTGATATATGTCGTGTTTCAATTTTTTTTTATTATTTTATTTGTGCAAGTGAATGCCAAATCATCAAAATTATTGGCTATTCATTTAAAAAATAAATTAGAAAATTTATAATTTTTTTTTTTTTTTGCAATGCACGTCTTTCACTTTATGTATCTTCATAATATTTCATAAAAATCTCATGTCTCACTCTATAAGAGACAAAGCTTCAGAGAGAAGAAATTGAAAGATGCTCACATTCAAAGTAAGGTTAAGTTTGGCATAATTTAAATAATACAAAAAGTTAAAAAGTTACTATCCTATTTAAGTCACATCATCTTATTTAAATCACATCACTTCTCTAACACATCACATCAAACCCAACTCAAATCCAACCCATATAAGCCAATAAGTCAAAAAGTGTACTTTTTTAGAACATCCCAAATCAAATGAATGAGTTATTTGAAAAAAATAAGTTATACTATTTATATTAAAACTTTTTTATTATTATTGTGATTAATATTAATTTTATAAGGCGAATATAATTAAGTATACCCTGCTGTCCATGTGTGTAGTGACATTGTGAAAGTAGCCAGAAAGAATAATTGAACATTACTTTAGTTGAATATTCTTTTTATTCTTGCATTGATTTGATATATGTCGTGTTTCAATTTTTTATTATTATTTTATTTGTGCAAGTGAATGCCAAATCATCAAAATTATTGGCTATTCATTTTTTTTAAAAAATATATTGACTAATAACTAAATTATTTTTTTGATTTTTTATTTAAAAAAATTAAAAATATCAAATTAATAATTAAATTTGCTTTAAGCGAGATGAGAGAAAATTAACTTATGAATTCTATAAAACTGGAAAATCACATGATATTAAATTTTATTTTTTTAAACTTTATATGACACTAATTTACAAATAAAATTTATATTTATAAGAGGCAATAATATTATTTATCCTATACATAACGCATGTTTAATATTAATATCATACAATTCCCTAACTCCTAAGGGTTGACCCAGTGGTAGAGGTTTGGGACTTAAGAGTTTGCTCCTCTCTAAGTCTCAGGTTCAAAAACTTTTTAGGTACTATCAACTCTTGTGTTGGGTCAGTTCATACAGAGCTCTGATCTGGCTTTAAATGAGCACCTTGCTAGTTAGGGTTGGGCAACGGTTTATCCGAACCGCTCAAACCGCCCAATCCGCCCAACCCGCATATAAATGGGAGGTTTCGCAAACATAATGCGGACGGATGCGGTTTGAAATATGACAAATTTGTGGGTTGCGGGCGGGTCGCGGTTTAAACCCGCAACCCGCAAAAATCGCCCGCACTTTAATTATTATTATTATTATTTTTTTTTAATATACCAACTTTGTAACTTTTACAGGAGTACCATTATATTCTCTATGACACTAGGATCCTTATTTTTAAGTATTTCTCAACTTTCTTAATGCCGTAGAATTATCAAGTCCTAAACTTGGTTTCTTATATGATTTTCATTGGTGATTCATCCACTTTTTCCTAATAAAATTTTCCTTCTAATGGTCGATGGAACTTGTTTGATTATTGATTACTGAACTGACAATTCTAATTGAGTACAACCTTCAATGCATTGATATACATTTTTTTCATGGCAGAAATGCTAGTGTAGAGTCTCTTTGTTTTGGGTACTTTCATTTAATGCATTGATATTCAATTTTTATTTGTAAACTCATCAAAAAATTGTTATCACAAATATAAAAATGAATCTGATGCCTAAATTTGCTGGGAAAAAAAAACTCAAAAATTAATTTTTAAAGAAAAAAGTGTAAACCGCAAACCGCTCGCAACCGCCCGCACATTGCAAACCCTATCCGCACAAACCGCAAACCGCACTGCGGGCGGTTGCGGGTTGACTTTTTCCCAAACCGCATAGATGCGGGCGGGTCAAAACCGAACCGCAAACCGCACAAAACCGATCCGCGAACACCCCTACTGCTAGTGGATGGTGGGAAGCTGGCCGAGACACTTTAAATGAGCCACTGCTAGTGGATGGTGGGAAGCTGACCCGGACATCCTGAGTTATAAAAAAAAATAAATAAATAAAAAAAATCATACAATTCCCTGCTCTAAAACTTCTGTGTGAACAAGTTTTGTCCCTAGAGTTTTCCTACGCATATACAAACAACTATTCATTCATCCCATACGAAAAAGCCAACTTTACCCTCCAAAAAAAAGTCAAAAGGGAAAAGGAGAAAGCCAATGAGAACCTACTCATCTTCGCAGACCTTGCAAAAGGTCCACAGTAGAGGCTCTCCAATTCTCATCACAGCAAATTCTCCTGAAAATCTTCTTCCTGGTAAGCTCCAATACCATCAAGTTTTTGTTTTTCTGTCTTTAAAACCCATAATATATATATTTGTATTTATGAGTCAATGAATCTATGATGATATAGACTCACCATTCTGTTTCTGTTTGTTTCAGAGATGGTTTTCAGGAGAGCTGTTGTTGTGTTCTTGGGTTGTCTTGGAATAGCTTATCAGACCTCAAAGTCTCCTCCACCTACACCGGCAGAGAGTACTAATTCATCATCACCATCTTCACCATCATCACCATCATCTTCTTCATCAGATGATGATCTAGTTGTTGGTACATTAAGGGTCAGACTCAGTGATGGAAGGTACTTGGCTTACAGAGAGAGAGGAGTCCCCATCAACAAATCAAACTACAAAGTCATTATTGTCCACGGATTTGGCAGCTCCAAAGATATGAATTTTATGGCATCCCAAGTACACACATTGAAAACCCTTTTTCTCCTCCTTTTTGTTTGCTTTTGTTGTTGATCTGAAATTTCTCAGTTGGATTCACAGATTGTACTGAGCTTGATTTTCAATATGAGAAAGAAAAGTAGATGGAAAATGTGTGGGAATCAGTTCAGAGTAGGATGAGAAACCAATGGGAAACAGTAATTTTTAGGGATTGAACAGAAAATGCATCTGAAATCTGAATGTTACAAGATCTCATGTCTTAATTTTTGAAATGCTTTGAGAAATTGTCCATGAACATTGTGTTTCTTGAGCATATCATACATGTATAAAGTAGAATTTTCTAGGTTTTTCCCCAAATGCATTAGAGACAAGATTGCCCCCAAATGCATTAGAGACAATACTGCCCCAATATTACATAGGTTTCATATATATATACATATATATAATTGGGTACATTGGAGGACAATGGGTGGATCGAAATCATGATCTCCTAGTAAGGTACACTGGTTCTGGCAAGGTTTAGGGAAATGGGTACTGTACAAAATGCACATTACAACACTTTCTGAAACATGTTTTATATAGTAAATTGATTTACAAATCACTTCCTCTTGTTTTCACCACCATAAACCATATGAGGAGGCACTTTGAATGCTGCTTCACCTTATCCAATCAAAGAAGCAATGATGTTTACAGCGATTTACTTTTTTCAGGAGCTATTGGATGAGTTGGGGATATATCTTCTGTTATTTGATAGAGCTGGGTATGGAGAAAGTGATCCAAATCCAAAGCGCTCAGTAAAAAGTGAAGCAGTCGACATTCAAGAACTTGCCGATAAGTTACAATTAGGATCCAAGTTCTACGTAGTTGGAGTCTCACTAGGGTCTTACCCCACTTGGAGTTGCCTCAAACGCATACCCAACAGGCAAATACACCCACTATCAACTCTCAGTTTGGATTCTTGTTTCCATAATTCTCTAAAACATCTATTGCTTTCGCTTTGAAACCTGTTCTTGATCTTGCAGGCTAGCAGGCGTGGCTATGGTAGTTCCAATGATCAATTACAACTGGCCTTCTCTTCCCATTGATCTGACTAAGGGTGACTACAGAAAAAGTCTTTCGCGATGGAGCCTTAGGGTTGCACACTATACCCCCGGATTACTGCATTGGTGGTTGACTCAAAAAATGTTCCGGTCATCAGCTGTGCTTGATAGAAATCCAGCATTTTTCTGCCCCAAAGATTTAGAGGTCTTGAAGAATACCCCAGGTTATCAATTACTCTGCAAGGTAACTTTTTATCTTTTATCTGCACATACAAAATTGAAGGAGAAAAGAAGGTTTTCAAACCTGTTTATGAGTGAAGAGTTAGTTTCTAAATCTGCTCAACAATGCCAAAAGAATGTAAAAGACATTCTTTTACAATAATCTTCCGACGGTTGAGCAGATTCAGAACAATAATCTTTTTTGGGTTAATTACACTTCATCTCCCTCAACTACCACTAGATATCATTTTACCCTCAAATTTAAAACTGCATATTTAGACCCCACAACAATCAAAATTGCTTCGGTTTCATCCTTCCACATGTGGCAAGAATGTGGCACATCCGTGTCCAACACTTTTTAGGTTTTGCATGGACACTTTAAGAGGGTGGCACGTTCGTGTCTGATACCTATACTCGTTGGATACTTCCTCACACGTATCGGGTACTCATCCTAATGTCTATTCTTTTTAAATTTTTTAGACCTAAACACGCTTCAGACGCATTGGGAAAGAAGTGTACATCGCTTAAGCATAAAAGAAACACAATATGAGTTTAAACAAAATAATTTGGGATACAATGATAAAAGAAAAAACAATCTAGATTTATGCTTATGAATATATCCTCCTTTAAACTTTATGAATTAGTATTATATTGCACTTTTTTTTTTATTATCCTCGAATGAAATATTTTTTGTATATGACATTGACGTGTCTTGTATTTTTTGAAAATTAATGTGCCGGCATGTCAGTGTCCGTGTCTTGCATTTCTTGAAGATAAATGAACCAATATGTCTTTGTCATGTTGCTTGTGGGTGCTTCTTAGCTAGGAAATGATTGCGACACAATTTATTTTTCACTCTGCAGAATCAGTTGCAAGAGCCAAATGTTTTTGACACTCACCGCCGAGACTTTGTTGTGGCATTTAGCAAATGGGACTTCGATCCACTGGATATGATTAATCCATACCCCAAAAATGAAAGCACTGTTCACATATGGCAAGGCTATGAAGACAAGGTTGTGCCATTTTCATTACAGAGATATGTTTCAAGAAAGCTACCATGGATTAGGTATCATGAAGTCCCTGATGGAGGACACTTGCTTGTGTATGATAGTGTTGTATGTGAAGCCATTTTGAGGTCTCTTTTGCTTGGAGAAGATCCTCCTCCATTATATAGACCTGCTGTATCTGTCAATTAAAATTGTTCACATCCTTGTCATCAGATTGATGACACCCTTGTTTGTGACTTTGATTTCTATACAATTGACATAACATTTCTTTCATTCCATTTATTTCATTATTGTTTGAAACTGAAATAATTACCTTGCTGTATTTGTGAAGTGATACCTTGTTGACTATGAACTCATTAAAAAATTCATCTAAAAAACTACAACTGTCAATATGTACACTTGTGCTTATTTTTCTCCTAGGGCATTTTTGACATTTGTGCAAATATTGCATAATGCTTCTTTTCCTCCTAAAGGGGAAATTAAGATATTATGGAAAAAGTTTCATAATAATGACAAAGGGTTAATTACATTTAGCACTCTTACACTTCTATCAAAATTTCATTTTGGCCCTTTTACTTTCAGTTGTAACCATCAATCTCTTATACTTTATGGCAATTTGTGTAATGCATTCTTTTTATTCTTTGCACTTTCACCAATATTTCACTTTGATCTCTCTATTTTTCATTTTTGTTAGCCTTATTAACAGTTGATTGATAGAAGACAATGACATTGTATCTTGACATAAAGTGTGTAAGGGGTTGACTGTTATGATTGAGAGTGAAAAGAACGAAGTAAAATTTTGGTAAAATTACAAAGATGCTAAATATAGGGGTGACCATTGGTTTAATGGTTAAGACTTGGCCTAATAACCTTGAGGTTATGGGTTCAAGTCTTGGGCCACCACTTTACGCTTTATGCTAAAATGTTAGGTGTGTACTGAATCTTTCCCCTCCCAAACACACATTATTATGGCAATTTGTGTAATGCATTCTTTTTATTCTTTGCACTTTCACCAATATTTCACTTTGATCTCTCTATTTTTCATTTTTGTTAGCCTTATTAACAGTTGATTGATAGAAGACAATGACATTGTATCTTGACATAAAGTGTGTAAGGGGTTGACTGTTTTGATTGAGAGTGAAAGGAACGAAGTAAAATTTTGGTAAAATTACAAAGATGCTAAATATGATTAACCATAATGACAAATTACAGAGTGTTTTGATGAAAATGGGAGTGTCAATAGAAACACCCTATAATTAACAGGTGATATAAAGGTTTGAACATCAAAACTGTATATTACCTCGTATGATGTCATAAAAAATTATTAACTATCAACTTATCTAAAATGTTAGATTATTCAAAAGATGGTAAGTTTATTTTATTACTAGCGGTGGGTGTAAAGACAATGCATTTGCAATTTCATAGTTATATCTTTGAATGGTTTGATAAATGATGAAAATTGTAAAAACACTTTTGAATAGTTTGATGGAACAGTTATTGGATGTGGTAGTTATGAATATGAAAAACATTATTGAAAAATTAGAAAAAAAAAAGAGCCTGACAGCATACACTACTCAAATATAAGCTTTAGAATAAATATTCTCAACAATTTGAGTAAATAGATCGGTTGCCATCAAAGGGTAGAAGAAAATTACAGTGGCCAATGTTCAAAAGTAGACTTTTCTCCTATGTGATCATCATGTTTCTACTTTCCTCCATAAATGAGGCAATGCCAATCAATGCTCAGAATTCCATGAAGAGGCAACAAATTGACTCTGTTGCATGTCACATTTGAACATTGATTCCCAAACACCTGAGAAACTTGAAATGTGTAATTTTGATGTTTATACAACAAATTTAGAAGGATCCTATGAAAGCAAAACCATCCATTTTTGCAATAAGACAACTGCACTATGAAAGAGACAAGTGAACAGATAATGTAGTACCAAAAATGTTTATTTTTTGAGACAAAAATTTTGATCCGAAAAAATAGTAATTCATAACCAAATGGCAAATACACTAATGACACTTTTGGTAACAAAAATATTTTGTTCATGAAAAGTGATTTTGTCCCTAAATTTTTAAAACCTTAATTAGTTGTAATTAGGGGTGCAACTCGGGCGGGTTCGGGCGGGTTGGGAGGTTGTCCAAGCCCAGCCCAAGTTGTGCTGAGACCCGTCCAAGCCCGAATTGTAACCCGAGGTTGTCTGCCCAAGCCCGACCCGAGTTAAACCCGAGTTGCCCGAATTACCCGAGTTGTAAATGAATTTTAGTTTTTTTTTTTTTTTTTTTTTTTTGCAGCTACATTATTAAATTATTAAAATTTGACTCTATTTACAATTTTTTTTATTTATAGAAAATCATTAATACCATCAAAATAAATAATTCATATAATGTAAGAGAGATGCCACTATAGTAGTCTTTACAATTTATGAGTGAAAATAAAAAGAAAAAAAAGTAAGATTTTATTCTATTTGTATATATAATATATATTCAATATAATTTAATAATATAAATTACTTTAATATCATGTAATGGCTAATAATTTATATGTGTATTTAATATTTTTATATATCTATATATATATAATTCGGGTTTCGGGTTGCTCGGGTTGTTTGACGTCTTTGCCCAAGCCCGCTCAAATTTAATTCGGGCTTCTGAATTTTTGCCCAAACCCGTACTGAATTTAAAAATATTTTGTCCAAGCCCTAAAAAATTTCGGGCTGAGCTCGGGTTGCTCAGGTTGAGCCCGCCCAAGTTGCACCCCTAGTTGTAATGAGCATTTAAAAATAAAAATTATTTCCACAATGCAATTTGTTTTCAACTTCATTTCTGGAATCTAAATTATTTCATGAAGTCATGTTTTGAAAACACACAAATTTAGAATAAGTTAATTGAAGTTGTACTTTCAAACATACCTTTAACTTTGAAATCGTGGTAAAAGGGCTAAAGAAGGCAAGTGTGGGGTTGGTGGCAATTGGGAATGGTGAGGGAAGGGTGCCAAGTTGATGGAGATGGTGAGAAGGAAGGGAGAAGAGGGAGGGGGGTTGAGATTAAAAAATGAGAGGGGCAAAAATATAATTTTCATCATGTTTTCTTTTTTTTTTAAAATTAATTTTAACTTGCATCTATATTGCTATTATTTTACTATACAACTAATTTAGCCAAATGTCCTAATTCTCTTAAATTGTAGATATAGCTAAATTTTATGTCAAATTTGATACAAAGTTTTACAACACTAAAATATAAAAACAAGATTTAGCTAGTCATTGGAGAGCTCAAAATTAAACTTCATGATAATTAATGAAAAATTTATAATTTAAGATAATTACGTTGTACTTTTTTTTGAGCAATAATTACGTTGTACTCACTTAAAGTTTTTATACCGCATAATACTATAATCCCATTTCAGTACACAATCGTTTGTCAATAAATGAAAATTAAAATTGATGATTCCATCATCTTTTAAAACTAAATGCTAATTTTGCCTTTACGTTACAAATTTATCTTAAATCAACTCACTGAGTCAACTCAACAACCCATCTAATTGGAAATCGTACTTTTATGTATATATATATTATAAAATTATCCTAAATTAACTCATTTAGTCAACTCAACAACTCATCCAATTGGAAACCCTACTCTATTTTTTGAGTCTCTTTCCCCTGCTGAATCAGGATTTGCTCCTTACATTTTTTTCTTGCATTTTCTACTTATAAGCCCATTAAACCCACTTTTAGGCTTAATTTTGATAATCCAAACCGTTCATATTTTAAGATTTGTTCATTATATCATACCTATGAAAAATCAAGTTGATCGGATATCAGAAAGTATGTGTTCGGAAAATTCGAACTAAAAACTATTTTTTTTAAAAAATTTAATAAACAATTTTCCGAACACGTGCTTTCTGATATTCGATCAATTTGATTTTTTATAGGTATGATATACTGAACAAATCTTAAAATATGAATGGTTTGAATTATCAAAATTAGGCCTAAAAGTGAGTCCAATAGACTTGCAAGTATGAAATGCAAGGAGCAAATGCAAGGAGGGGATCCTTGCTCTTCCTCCACCACCGCTACTTTCATCTTCCTCCTGTTCTTCGCCACCACCGCTCTCGTTCTCTCGCCTCATTTTCCCTTGCACCACCCTTCTCCAAGTAAACTGTTAAACTACTAACTAATTTTGTAAAGGCATGAAATTTGATTGTGTATTTAATGAAACATTATTCAGTAAAGCTAAAATATTATACTGGTATGTGCATGTAATAATCCTAATCAAGAAAGCTGTGCAAAAGAGATGAACGAGGTTGAACTTGTGTGATACGCAACAAACCAAGGTTAGTGAAATTGGCTCTATACATTTTGTGACTAATGCTCTATTGAATCGAGAACACCCTATCAATGTGTTAAGTTAGTACTTTTGGACAATTGAATAATTACTTTTATCTAGTGGTTGAGAAGAAAAAATAAAAATAAAAAAAGAAATAAAAAAGAGAGAAAGAGAGCAAAAAGGAAAAGAAAAGAAAAGAAAAGATAAAATAAAGTAGCTTCCATTGCATGTGTCTCACTTTATTGCATGATTCATAAGTAGTGTTTGGATCCTCTAGAGTACTTTCTCTAGAATGATCTCTTGAAGTAAATGATTGGACGATTGACAACAATTCAGAGCAAAATGACATCGTTTTGATCGTTTCAACGAAAAAAAAAAAGTAAAAGAAAAATGTACAGAGAGAGAGAGAGAGAGAGAGTGCGCGCTAAACCATCACAGTCGCTAGGGCTGTGCAAAACACCGCACAATCCGCTATCTGCATCGATCCGCACGTCTCTAGCTGCAAACTATGGTTTAAACTTTAAAATTTATAATCACCGAACTGCTTTGCTCTACTATAGTTAATGCATATATATTTTTTAATTTTCAATGAAATATCAATATTAGAGTACTTTCTCTAGAATGATCTCTTGAAGTAAATGATTGGACGATTGACAACAATTCAGAGCAAAATGACATCGTTTTGATCGTTTCAACGAAAAAAAAAAGTAAAAGAAAAATGCATGGAGAGAGAGAGAGAGAGAGAGAGAGAGAGAGAGAGAGCGCTAAACCATCACAGTCGCTAGGGCTGTGCAAAACACCGCACAATCCGCTATCTGCATCGATCCGCATCGCTCTAACTGCAAACTATGGTTTAAACTTTAAAATTTATAATCACCGAACCGCTTTGCTCTGCTATAGTTAATGCATATATATTTTTTAATTTTCAATGAAATATCAAT